TACTGACACCTTGATTCATCCTTAATTAAGTAATCTCTATCACTTTGAAATCTGATGATGTTGCCAGGGGTCATGGTACATGCCTGTAATCTCAACAACTTGGAAGGCTCAGGCAGGAGGATCACAATTTTGAGGTCAGCCTCACCAACTTAGCAAAACCTGTCTCAAAATAAAAAATAAAGAGGGCTGGGGATGTAGCTTAGAGGAAAGCAGCCCTAGGTTCAATCTCCAATACCCTCCCAAATTTTTTTTATCATGTTGATTTTATTTCTTAGTAGTAAACTACATAAATAATTAATGATCTTTTAAGCTCTTTCAAAATTCAAACAGAAATATATTTTTCCACTTCTCAAGTTACACTTACTTACCAGGACCCATGGGACTGAACTATAGCTCTCTGTCACACATATCACTTAATCCTCACAGTAATCCTATAAAGAGGGTACTGTCAGCCTTATTCTATAGAAGAATAAATTAAGGCTTAAAGAAAGTAAGAAACTTGTTCAAGGTAATATAAGTTATAAGACTGGAAGCCATGTGTGACAGATATTAAAATCTAGTTCTAATTTACTATAGATCAAAAGGAAAAGACTATGTTTCAAAAACTCTTCAGTTCTTAAATGTTTAATAAATTGATATTACTTTTGAAAATTAAGTTATGTATACTATTTCTATTCAATATTGGCAACTATGTATTTTCCAATGATCATTCTATAAAAAGAATGTTGCTCTATAAAATGCAGTCAAATACACATAAATACTATTAAAAATCAATGTAAAATTGTGAATATGAATAATGTGCAATAAAAAATGAAATGGAAAAAAGTGTACTAAATTAGAACCAAAATTATTCCTATCGAAAATTTCAAAGAATTCCAAAATAGATTCATTCTCTAAAACAATTAAAGCTCCCAAATTTTAAGTCACACAAAAATTCTAAGGCCTGGTTTTTGTTTTTATTTTCCTCAAAAGGACAAATAGAAATGTATAATTACTGATTACCTTCTATGTGACAGACACTGAGCTAATTGCTTTTGATAATTTTTTCTCATAGAACCTGTTCTATTTCCCTGGGAGGGGAAGAGTTTTTACTACAATAACACAGAAGAATAAACTCAAAATCCAAATGTCACATTGCTCTAAGAGTTATATAAGGATTCCTGTCACATCTGACTCCACAAACAGCACCACATCATGCAATTAATAATCATAAAACACACACACACACACCACCCTTTAGCAACAAAAGAACTTTAACTAAAATCCAGGCAATTATCTTTTAATGAAGCTTTGTGCCTTGCTATCAGCCAGTCTGTGGCCAGTACACAACAGGTGTCAAATGAAAGTTTTAGTGAGTGCAATGAACAGTGGTAGCTTAGCAAAAAAGGAATCATCTCCATTCGTTCTGCCTTTCTTAAGAAGTCAATATAAGGGGCTGGGGATGTGGCTCAAGCGGTAGCACGCTCGCCTGGCATGCGTGCGGCCCGGGTTCGATCCTCAGCACCACATACAGAGATGTTGTATCTGCCAAAAACTAAAAAATAAATATTAAAAAATTCTCTCTCTAAAAAAAAAAGGTATCTTACCTTTTTAAAAAAAAAAGAAGTCAATATAAAACTAGCACTTATAAGGCAACCATACAATTATTTCCTTAAAGACGACACTGAATCATGGGAAGGAAAGGGAAATACTAGGGAATGAGATTGATCAAATTATGTGCAGGTACCAATATGGCATAGTGAATCCCCCTATTATGCATAATTATAATGCATCAATAAAAATAAATTTTAAAAAGTAAAAAATAGAAGAAGAAAACGCTGAATCAGGAATTGGAATAAATGCATCAATTTTTTTAATTTTTATTTTTTGGTGGTGCTAGGGTTTGAACACAGGGCCTCTCTCATGTTAGCCACATCCCTATACTTTACCAATGGGCATGGCACTGGATGAGACACAGAAGCCCTAAGCAAAGATCTAGCTCATTCTAGCTCATTCCACTCAATTACAACATTTTTCTGACCCTGCCTTGTAACAGTTAATTAAACTTGTCCTGCTTCCAGAATTAGCTAAACACTAGTAGAAACCTTGGTCGTTTTTGTGCTTCTTGGAACACTTAGACAGAATCTGACACTTCAGATTAATAGCTACAATTTTATAAATGTTTTATTTTACTTCAATACTTATTCAAATGCATTTATCCTAAAAGTTTTACAAGGTAAAGTATAATAACTATCTGCATTTTACAGACAATGACAACAAGGTCCATTAAGTGCCAAGATAAGTGGTCAGATATCCTTCTGTAACACCACAGTGACTACAGGAGACTCTAATAAATGTTTGTTGAAACTGAATTGTTCATCAGCTGTTTCTCAAAATTTCACTTTTCTTTCTAACATTATAACACCATTATCTGTTGCTATGAGAAATTACTTTTATTGCCACTTAAGACTGATAGCTTTGCTAGAAAATTTATGTTTTCATTCAGCTAGGTATGGTTAGTTAACTTTTCTTTTCCTGGCACCAGGATTGAACCCAGGTGCACTTAACCACTGAGCAACATGCCCAGCTTTTTTTTTTTTTTTTAATAGGGTTTTGCTGAGTTGCTGAGACTAGCTTTGAACTTAGAATCCTCGTGCCTCAGCCTCCTGAGCTGCAGGGATTACAGCATGTGACACTATGCCCAGCAATGTTAGTTAACTTTTTTTTTTTGTACCAGGTATTAAATCCAGAGGTACTTAACCATTGAACTACATCTCCAGTCCTTTTTTTATATTTTATTTGGAGACAGGGTCTCACTGAGTTGCTTAGGGCCTCACTAAATTGCTGAGGCTGTCTGAATTCCCAATCCTCTGCCTCAGCCTCTCAAACTGCTGGGATTACAGGCATGTGTCACCACACCCTGCAAGGTTAGTTAACTTTTAACAGTGATTTCCAAACTTTAATAAGAATGGAGACACTTAATAAGAATTAAGATTTTTAGCTGGCAAGAGGACAGACAACCCAGCTACCACAGTAGGCTGAGGCAGGAGGAACACAAATTTGATGCCAAATAGGACAATTTAGCAAGACCCTGTCTCAAAATCTAAAAACAAACAAAAAAAAAATTTAAGGCTAGAAATGTAGTTCAGTGGCAAAGTACTTGCCTAGCATATGTGAACCCTGGGTTCCAACACACACACACACACACACACACACAGACTTTTGAGCCACTATTATCTCTAGGATTCTAATTCAAGCTGCCAGGAATCAGTATTATAAATAATATTAATAATAATCAGCTGATTATTTTTTAAATCAGCACTCTCAACTGATTCTAATGTTGGTCTTTAAAAACCCTTAGAGAAATGAATAAGACTTTTAAAAACCTATATTAATCTAACAAAAATTTACAGTTAGAAATATTTAAACAAAATCTGACAAAAACAATTCAAGGAGCCCAGTGCTGTATTACTGGCTACTCCAGAAGCTGAGGCAGGTGAATCACTGGAGTTCATGAATTTGAGACCTGCCTGGGCAACACAGCAAGATCTGTGTGAAAAAAACAACGCAGTGTACAACATATAACAGCAGTTCCTCAAAAATGTTTACCATGCCTAACCTCCCTAGACCTCAGGAGCTTCTCATGCTGCAGAAGAGGTTAAATTATGGCTTTTCTAGGTATCTAGAAGACTACCCCATATTATTGTTTTTAGTTGATAAATTCAACTATGGTCCCAATATAATTTAGTAAGACATTTTCATGGGTATTTATACAAACACCTGGATATAAAGTGAATAAGTCAGCTAATCTTTGAACCTAATACACAGAAATAATAATTTTAAAAATCACCATTTTAAACTCTGAATGACCAACAAAAACATACTATGAGATTAAGAATGTTTTCCCTAGTTATTAAATATTTATTGAGAGTCGACGTACTACCTTTCTGTACTTTACCAATTTTCTACTATAACGATTTTTTTTCATGATTACAGTTTTAGAAGTACCTACAAATCTTACACCTTCACATACTTTAGAAAACAAGAATAACCTGTCATCACATTTACCATAAATCATAAGTACCCAAATATCTGACTTACTGTACCAAACTGCAATCACTAACTTTTTTTTTATATTAATACCAGAACAAATCACGTTACTTCTAAAATTTAGACTACATTCATTTCCATCGGGTTCCTGCTATCAGGACAGTTAGCACGACTTAAAATCCTCTTTCCATCCGTCCTCTGGATCTATTTAGAGGGAACATTTTTGTACCGAGGACTGAAGCACTAAAATATTTCCTCTCTTCTTGGAGGTGGAAAAGACACAAATCTCTGTAAAATTAATTTTTATAACGGTAGTGTTTATCTAGGAAACAGCAACGCAAAGACGGGATGGGGCTTTCTCCAAGGCAGATCACTCTTAGAGATAAGATGTAATATAAGGAGTGGACGAGCTACCCCCAGGTGATGAAATTTCACCTCAAATAAGTCGCAAAAGGCTTTTCTCTAGGAAGTCGAATCCGTGAATGAGACACTCTAGGGCTCTAAGGGTCCTGAACTCTTAGCACCTCAATCCTCACCCTACCCGGCCTCCCCCCCCCGCCCCCCCCGACTCTGCAGGACTCGGTACGGGGCGATGGAAAGCTAAGGTTGTTTGCAAACAGGCGTCCTCTGCCTCCCTCCGGGATGTACACGCAGGACCCGGGTAAGAAGCCGCTCTCGGCCCCGCCCGGAGCAAACCCAAAGGGCACCGGTGCAGCCGTCAGCAACCTCTTCACACACCGGGCCGCACCGGAACCGAGGCCCGGGAGAGCATTCTCTCGGGGCCTAGGCGCCCCCCACGGGCCTCGACCTCCCGGGGGACGCGGCGAGGAAGGGCTGAGGCCCCCAGAGCCGCCGGGTAGAGGCAGCCGCAGAGGCAGGACGCCCCGTCCGCCCGGCCTGAGGGCTGCAACCAGGGCCCCCACAGGCGGTGGGAGCCTGGCGAGCCCGGGACAGGGTCGCGCCGCACTCACCTCGGCTGTGGCCGCCGTCGCTTCACCATGGCCGGGGGGAGTCGTCCCCGAGCCGAAAGTCTCCTCCCCAGGAGGGCACCGGCGCGGCTACAGGGGCCGCCGCAAAGCCTCGCACTCCTGAAGGGGATGTGGTCGCTGCGGCGGCGGCGGGGGCTTCTGAGGCCCAGTGCCCGCCCAGCCGCATCGGCTCCCGGGCCGCCGCAGCCACGCGGGTCCCAGGGAGCACCGGTGAGCCGGGCGGGGGGCACAGACTGCAGTGGGACGACCGAGGTGCTGCAGGCGGTGATTCTCCACGAAGCCTCCAGCGTCGCGGCCGCCGCTCCAGCCGCCTGCGCCGCTGGGCCACAGCGCCCCCTGGACCCCACGTCCCGCTACGGCGCCGGGACTGCGGCTGCCGCGCCGGGCACGAGCGGCAGGGAACGCGAAGGAGCGCGGCCTGGGGCTGGCGGGGGCCCCGCGCGCCCTGCGCCGCCCTCCGTCCGCCCCTGACGACGCTTCCTGAGAGCCGGAAGCCGCGGTTCCCACCAACCCCTTGCGGTCCCCACCCGCGTCAGACCCCAGCACCTTTTCCTTCTCTACAGAAGGTACGTGAGCGCTCTTGTCACTCGAACCCGCACTTGTGAGGCAGTTTCCATGCCTCATTTCTCACAGAAAGAGGGGGTGTCCCTTCTAATCCCTTCAATGTGCCTGGATGAAAGAAGAATGTCCAGAACAAACCTTTTTTTTTTTTTTTTTTTTTTTTTTAAACACACAATCTCCTCCCAGAACAGATGAAGGAATTGTTTTTGACCTTAACTCTTTTTGGATCTACCGTACAGATCATCACAGAAATTTCCTACAGGCACCAAACCCTTAACCCTTAGTCGCCCCCCCCCCAAAAAAAATAGGGAAAAATATGGTGAACAAGAGAAGAGAATAGCCAACGGCTTGTGCTGAAATTCATAAGCAACTTAAAGGTAAGAAAAGAATCATCCTTTTACTAGTCCCCCTCCCCCACCCTCACCTCTACTCTCCCACCTCTCCACCCGCCATCCCTGCCAAATCCTAGGTAAGGCTCTGAAGGAAATCCCTGTATGCATTAGCGGGGACTATAAAATCATTGTTTACAGATGCCCTGTGTTTGATCCCACTCAGCCTCTAAGCCTCTAAGGTGCAAACGTCAGAACCAAAAACAAACAAAAGACTATCAAAATGGAAATAGGGAAAGAAAAATTCTCCAGATCCTCTGGCCTCCAGGTTTTCCGAAAAGAGGGTGTGTGTGTGTGTGTGTGTGTGTGTGTTTTCTCCACAGTGTGGTATGATAGAATGAGCTGGAACTTTGGTGTCAGATCCTGATATTAGCAATCCATTTCCACCATGTATAGCTTTAGGACCATGGCAAGTTATGTAACATTTTGAACCTCAGTTTTCTCCTGCCTGCCTTGCTACTTGTGAAGATTGAAGATGGAGAGACTGGCCTATTAGAAGGTACTCAATAAATGTTAGGTCCAATTTTTGTTGATTCCAGAACACTCTCAGTCTTTTTTAGGCCCAAGATTATGCCCAGCCAGAATTTTTGTTGTTGTTCGTTTTTATCCTTGTGTGTGTGTGTGTGTGTGTGAAAAAAGATGTGTGCATCATTCATCATCCCTGGTCTGGGTGAAATTTCACTAACAGATTTATATAACATCCCTCCACTGAAGACCAGAACCTAATGCACTGGATCCTTTGACTTTCTGTTGCAAAGCAGATATCAACATAGAACCAGTATATTTTCTGTATAAAAATATAATAAAGCAGTTTTATCTTACCTTAGGTTATGGCCTAATAATAACAAATCATAATGAAAAAAGTACATAAGGTCTCCAGGAAATGTTCAAATAATAATTGAGCAGCCACCCAGAGAAAATATAACCTAGCAGTTCTCATCTCATCAATGAAAACTGTTCCTGTATAGTCCTAGATGTGTCTTCACCACATACCTCTAAGTCACATTACAAAAAAAAAATCGCTCTCCCCTTTTTATAACAAGAGAAACTGGGGCTTAGAAGGAAACGGTGATTCATCCTCATAACAACTTCATGAATTAGTAACTATGCTACCACCATTTTACATGTGAAGTACATCCAACCTAAGGAAAAGCTGGAAGTAACCTGATGTTTTTCTCATCCCCTATTTGATACTCCAACAGTCCTCCTAGCAATATTAATAAAATGCTGCAAGGGTAAGTTACTATTGCTAAAAATTTTTCAAGCTAAAGAAAGGGGATCTTTAATTTAGATCAGTTTGGCGACCTAACATAAGCACTGTGCTTTCCAAACCTAGATAACTACCACTGCAGGAAATCTGCATTTGTTTATGAATCAATTATGCTACCCAGGGTGTAGCTACTACGTGAGTGAAGATGATTCATTTGTTCCCAGGACTAGTTTCCTCTTGCTTCACAATTTCTCCCCTTCTATTCAAATTCTGTTGCTAATCAAGCCTGACTTTACCATTACCACCACCTCCCTGATCATACTAGTTTACTTAAAATCCTTTTGGTCTACTACAATTTCAGTCCATTATTGGTGGCTCTTCCTACTCAGTTTGCTCCCTGCACCTGAAATACTTCTCATCTGCTTTTCTTCTGTCATAAATCTCCTTTTCATATTAATATCTTGGCCTGCAGTCAATTGACTTGATTACCCTACTCTCAATTTTTCATTGATTTTCATTATTATTTAGTGACTCAAAAATACCTCTTTATTCCCATGCTGTTTGGTCTACCTCCTCACTTTCATTTTTATGCCATAAACATCCTTTAGAAAGCCAGTATTCTAAGAATGGTTTTTTTCAAGTTAGTTTAAAGTCACCCTTACCAAAATTTTCTTGGCTCTTTAGAACATGTTCTTTGGAGCTAGGGTTATGGCTCAGTGGTAGAGTGTTCGCCTCACATGTGGGAGGCCCTCGGTTTGATCCTCAGCACCACATAAAAATAAATAAATAGATAAAATAAAGGTAGAATGTGTTCTTTAAAATTCAGACCAAACCAGACATAGTAGTGCTCATCTGTGATCTTAGCTACTCTGAAGGCTGAGGCAGGAGGATTATTCTACCCCAGGAGTTTGAGGCCAGTATAGGTGATATAACAAGATCCCATCTCAAAATAAAATAAAATCCAGGCCAAAAAAATATCCATTTCCTGGCTTGGTGAATGGCACCATCATCCTCCCAGTTGCCCAATCCAAAAATCTGTGGTTCCTCCTTTACTCCTGTGTCCTGAACAATAGGCCATGAAGCCTAATAAATTCTGTTTTCTTGCTTTTTAAATTTCTCTCCTCTCCAATTCTACTACTAACTTTGGTCTAGGGTATATGCTAAATTATAGGTGTACTAAAGGAAGAGAGAAAGAGGAATGAATGAATATTGTATTTGTGTACAAGAGTATATAATGTATATAGTGTATATAAAAATTTGTTTAAAGGGAAATGCAGAAGCTCTACCCAATTTATAACTAGTCATCGCTACAGTGTTAATATCTATTGATTTGTATGTCTCCCCTACCAGAATGTGAGCCTGTGGGCCAGGTTCAGTATTTGATTCATCTCAGTGTCCTCGGATTAATTCTCAGCCTGGGTACTGTTAAACAGACCTGAACCTCCTTGAGCTAGCTAGCCTGAATCCCAACTGCTGAGTGATTATTTTAGGCTGTTCACCTTAACTTTCAGGACCTACCAAAAATAAGAATCCCCCTCAACTGGTACAATCCAGATCTGAGCCCAGCCTGCTAGCACCAGGTATGATCTCCTGCACCCTTCTGCAGCACCAACACTATCCAGAGTTAAATCCAGAATTTACAGTCTGTTACCAAACAGATGCACCTTAGAGCAAGCCAGAAGTCAGTAAAGCATCCCAAACTTAAAAAGGAACTTGGACATTTAGGAACTTGTTATGTCACTTTAGTCATTAAAAATAATAATAATAATAATAAAGCAATTCCTGTTCTCAGACTCAAGCATGAAGTAATCAAATATATGAACAAAGGTATATGAAAAAAGACATGTATTTTATGTTTTACTATAGGCTTATAACATGAATATGTGAGGAAAAAACTAAATAAACGAAATTACAACACCTCTACACAAAGAAATATTACGCCTCCATTAACAATGTATTTTAAAGAATTTTAAGTAATAATGAAATCTGTTCATGATTTAATAGCAAAGTAATAAAAACAGATTTAGTAAAAAGACTACTGTATGAACCCAATTATGTTTTTTATATATTTGTAAAATATATAATTATAATATTCAGAAAAAGTGGTCCAAAATGTTACATGTTTCTGGGATTTTTTTTACTTTTATTTTGAAATTATTTCAGATTTAAAGAAAAGTTGGAAAAATAGTGCCAAATATTTACCACATACCTTTCACCCATATCTAACCACATTTGCTTTATCAGTCTCTCTCATGCTTACTCAATTTTCTTTTATCTAGATAGACATATCTAGAGGCTATTGTAATTATTTTTTGATCCATTTATCCCTAAATATTTTTCAGTTCCCTCAAAACAGAGTGCAAAAATGACAGTATAATTATCAAAATTAGAAACTTAACCGTGATACAGTACTATGATATAATCTATGACCTTATTCTGATTTTACCAGTTATATTAGTATTTTTTATAGAAAACAAAAAACAATATTTTTTTGTTCTGGTCTAGAATGCAGTGCATGATTCCAAATTATAATTAGTTGTCAAGTTTCTTTAATTTTAATTAATCTGGAGCAGTTTCTCAGTCTTTCTCTTTTATGACCTTGACTTTTTTTAGAGTATAGTTTATATATTTATAAAGTTTCTCCCAATTTGAGTTTATTTCTTTATGATAAGATTCATGGTGTGCATTTTTGGCAGGAATACTACAATACTGATGTGTCCTTCTCAGTGAATTATACCAGAAGACATCGTGATACCTGTATGTCCCATCAGTGGTGATAGCAACCTTGTTCACTTAATTAAAGTGTAATCTGCCTGGTTTTTCCACCATAAAATAACTATTTTTACCTCCATAATAAATATCTGGGGGGGGTGGGTGGTCATTTGAACCTACTCAAAGGCTTTAGCATTTATTGATGATTCTTTTTATTTTAAATATTTTTTTAGTTGTCAATGTACCTTTATTTTTTTTTAATTTATATGTGGTGCTGAGAATTGAACCCAGTGAATCACATATGCTAGGCAGGTGCTTTACCACTAAGCTACAATCCCAGCTCTATTAACGATTCTTACTTGAAACAATTATTGCTATAGTAATTGCCAAATGATAACTTTTTACTTCCATCATTATCATTTGTCATCC